TTACATCTCGCCAATTCTGGGACTTGAAGAGCTGAGTATCCCAATCATGGACATACTTTGCAGACCGCCGACGCTCGGTCCCCGGTTGCTAGCAAACAATCGCTCCCTCCCGCGGGGCAGGAGTACCGTCCGAAGTCCTCAACCCAAAAGACCAACAATCAGAATGGGAAGTTCAATCGACTACCAGCTTACTGGTACCTGGAATAATAGCCTTTGGATATCTCCCATCACCCAAAACGCCGACTTCACCATGGTGTTCAGTTCGGTAAATTTCTTGTGGTGGCGTTTTCGAACGAGGTTACTGTGCTTTTATTGTATCATGTAAGGTTTTAGCGATCATTTGATTTCTGCAACTTTGGACAGCATACAAGCCGACTAACGGTGCCTACGGCACGATTTGTTGAGATCATCTCCAGCGGAACGCTTACCACGCTCCACCACTCGTGACTACGTGCCCTTGGATTGGTCGGATCAGGGCGCTTTCGGCCAGTTCTGACCATTTACGGCAATGGTATGATGAAAGTAGTGGATAGAGGTGGGCAAGACGACACATACCTGCGAGACGTCCGCTATAGAGACTTAACACGCACAAGGACTCAACCCCTTCGGGGTACGTGCGGGAGCTCGAGTGCCCGAGGGAATGCAGCTGCACCCACACCATCTCAGATACCCAAAATTAAGTAATGTCATCGCATGATACAGCCAAGCACTCAAGGTTCCCCAACTCAAGTACACTCAAGGCTGATGCATGCACTTTGCCGCGGACAAACGGAGCGTCGCAAGGATGCGGGATGCAGAGTGAATGAGGAAACGAGGGAAGGTGACTGAGCGCCATAAGCCGCCCACGAAGTTATAAACTACCGAAAGGAACACGACTGCAGTCCAGAGAAACACATGCGCAATGCTTGAAGTCACCATAGTGCTCATATCCGCCGAAAAATTATTATTCTGCCGAGTAACTGTCGGATCGGACCGCAGGAACAGTAAGTGGACGGCAACTAATCAACAAAAACAGGGTGCCTATTGGTCGGCCGCCATCAAAGCTCCAGCATCACGCACGTTTCTCGCCAACTTCTCGCCATCAATACGGTAAGCCAGCACTCCAGCTGTCGGGTACGGATCGACTCTGTAGCAGCGCGGAGGTGGCCATCGGAGGCGCAGCGTCGCGCCCGGCCACCGCGGAGACACATCCCCTTTATGACCCTCTGAAGATGATACTGTACTGAGATCTTGCATTCAAGTTATCATTTGCAGGAAAGCCCATTGAGAGTAGCACACGGTTCAGAAACTGCAGGCCCCCAAATCAAGGTAGCTTTGTTCTGCCGCTTTAAGCCTCACCCTGATTCGGCGTGTTTCGTAACGCGGACTGATAAGGGGGGGGGGGGGGGGGGTGATACGACCTCCCTGACGTTTGTAAACTCGGAAAGATATGGCTTAGCAAAACAAACGAATGGATTGGTCTCAACGAGATCTCGCAATAAGCAAAGGTTTTTGATGTGGCTAGGAAAAAACCGACCCCATTATGCCAGAGCCAAGGTCAAATTTCTCTAACAATCACAATTTCACCTTTACCACTTCGCGCGTACCAGGTTATGTCTTGTAGCGATACGAAACCTGAACAGGCATGTTCCTTGTTCAATTCTGAGTACAATGGTGTATGTGTGCGCACTGAGTACAATGGTGTTTCATGAGTCTTTCCCATATCTTTATGATGTTCCGCTCCGTTATTGAAACAATGCCAATACGCCGAGCGCGCTCCGCAGCATCATTGATTGCCGTCCAACTCCGCGCGCATGCTGTAGGTCGCCATGCAGTGATCCTCAAAAGCCGCCGCTGCTCCGAAACCAGAAATGCTAGGGACACGTTTTTTGTGTCCAAATACATGCAATAGATGCCTTATAGGCTACTGAAAATTAGGGCGCGATTGCACCGCATACCGGGGCGGTATCCTCAACAAATCTCGGGGGCTTCTCATCGACCGTCTCCCCTTTCCGGGAGAGGGCTAAATGCCTATATATGGCGCCGCCGGCCAGCCGCACGTGACAAGGTCTCCGTCACAAATCCACGTCTCGCTTCGTGACATCACGTCTCGGATGCGCTTTAGCGCCGTCAAGCCTTTCAGTATCATGCGACTTCGCTGTGCATTGGGAATACAGCTGCATCCCATCATCTAAGCTGACTAACATTGGACTATTGACATTGCATGATGGTGTTGATGAGTTTAGCCGCGCCGACTACCCTGGTCACATTGCGCCCATGATAACATCGCATGGAAAGAATGGCAGCCTAGTACAGATGTTTCTAAAACGTGATGTATTCGCAGGTTTGCGGATAAATGAGAACACAAATTTTTCCACCGCTTCGCCAATTCACAAATAAGATCAGATCGACGATCTAAAGGCTGCCTTATTCTGATAAAGTTCGTACATAAATCATACTTAGTCAACTTTATCATAAATTGATCTTAACGCGTAAGTCTTTCGCGCAAAGGGCAATTGACGGCATGGTTAGACATTGTGGCGACGCTATCACTATACATTTGTACTTTTGTGTACCTGTGGTGTGGAATAAACTGCAACTGTCCAGTTTGAGCGATTAACTGTGGTTATCACATTGTTACCTGTCACATACAATGTGTTGCACTGAGAATGGACCAGACTGAAAAAATCCCCGTTACGCCCCGCCCAACAGGTCCGGCTCAGCAACACAACGGCCACAAGTTAACATGTGTTTTCAGCGTATTCAAGATGTTATATTCGACGTGACATAGCGCAAAGTTTTGCCGGGGTATTCGCGGTACCATACGTTTTCTTTTTACATCTTCGTAACACACGTGACAATAACTGCCCATGCAGGTACCAACAGATTATCGTTTGCAGGTAATACGCGTGCTTTTAACAAACGGAACTACAAATTGTGTTTGCAACGTAAACAACGAGTATATCATGCTTTTGTATCGCTGGTCGGTCCTAGGCATTAATATATGATACCAATCATTGAAATGAGTGTTGTATATGTCTGTATATATGTATATAATATATATATATATATATATATATATATATATATATATATATATATTGTATCTGTGTGTGGGGTGTGTGGGTGTGCGTGTGCGTGCGTGCGTGAGTGCGTGCGTGCGTGCGTGCGTGCGTGCGTGCGTTGGCGTGCGTGGTGCGTGTGTGTGTGCGTGTGTGTGTGTGTGTGGTGTGTACGTGTGTGTGTGTGTGGTATCAATACATATCGTGCTGGGGGCGCACGCTGAACTCTTGTAATTGAATTTGCTGCGCGACTTCTGTCGCACATCGATCAAATCGTGGAGACTCCGCACGTCATGCAAATATCCTACGTGACGTAATGCGCCGTCAGGTATAGTCTTTGCTATTCGGGTCGCTGTTAACACCGAGAGGCGCAGAATCTATCGTGGCATGATGTTATGACTGACATCAACGGCATAGACTGTTTGTGATCGGTCGGTACGCCTACCCCTAAGCTCATGCACGCGGTAAATCCGTGTTCCCACGTATGGCGCATGGTCGTCAGCCGTCTGAGCGCATCATACAAAGGCGATGTTTCAGGGACTTGTTAAGGACAGGTAGCTTCATGTAAAAACATCAATAGTTTCTTCATGCATCAAAAAAATCGCAGCTTTGCCTGGGCTCAGTGTGGTGCACACATGCAAGGCTGAGAAGTCAAGACTTTGGTAGCTTCCTGAGATGACTTGATTACCAGCATTCTAGAATGCCACATAGGCATGCAAGATCTGTACTTATGTGTGCTGGCATGGCAAAAAGGTTGGGGAATCTGGATGCCTGTCATGCCTACATAAGTGCAATAGCATGCACCTCAAATTGTGGCATCCCAAATGTTTAAAGAAAATGGGGTGGTAGAGCAGTATCCAGGCTACAATACCATGTGGGTTGTAGTGGTAATAACTACAACAATGGCAAAATACAAGTGATGATGTATTTACATGTTGTATGTCCATATTGGTAAGGATATACATAGCAGCTCTTCTGAACATTAAATAGCAGGACCTATATAAAGGTGATGTTTGGATCAGTTTGAGTGTCTGAAATCACCATGAACACCATACCTCCATGCTAGGCAAATTGATTTAAGCCATGGAATGCACTGATGACAATTTTGTCTTTCTTTGTTATGAATATTATCCCAGGAGTTCCTGTGATTATGTTTTCTAACCAAGAACCGACTCAGTGATTGAAACCACCATCAGCTGAATAATTGGATGTGCACGATAGTTAAAAATAATGGAATGGGTTAGACAATCTTATATTCTGGCATCAAAAGTATACTACTCCAGGCATGCATGGAATGCACTATAAGGCTGATTCCAGATCCCACAGGGTTCCATGTTGATGGAATCTTGGGATTAGATCCTGGGGTCTTTTTGGGCTTTCTCCAGAGTCCAGACCCCAGACACACATATATATGGGACTAGTGAACACAGGACACCAAACTGCAATTGACACACCACTTCAGAATGTCCATAGAAGCTAGGCTGAGGTGCTACTGATATGGTGGCATCTCATGTAAGTATGCCAGTCAACATGCTGTAGTATAAATGTGTGGTGCTGTATGTCAGAATTTCTTCTTGTGAGTTGCCAGGTCTGGCTCAGGCTAAGGATGCATGCCTTGAAATTGTGCAAAGAATGCTGGATGCAGCACATATCACAGAGATCTACATACCTCTTACTGAAACCAGCTCAGGGTCCCTTTTTTACAATCCAAAATAATGTGGGATTGGGTTCATCAAACAGATGCAAGTAAAGCTAGCTATTGAAAGTGGGTGGGACAGGCCAGGAGGCAGTCAATGGAAATGTATGACAACCTATGACATGGGTAATGCCATGGACAAAGAATGCATGACGGCCACATGCCATCTCCCACAAGTCCCCAATGTTCATAACCACCTACCAAGATACAGCAGCCGACAGTCTCCAAGGGACCACATCTGCTGCCAATGGCATCCGACCCACCTGCTGGTGTGAATTCCAACTGCTGTGGTCAGCTCCGCCCAGTCGCAGTTTCCCTCCCCGGCCCGACGGGCTCGGCAACCCCACCCCGAACCGTCCATTCACAGAGTGAGGCTGCCAGCCGGCGGCTCCGCGGACCGACACGCGCCGGGCACTCACCCCATATATGGCTCCGATGACGCAAGGGCGAGCTCGGAACCTGTTTGGTGGACGGGTATTCGGCGGTGACGTGATCGCAGCCTGGCCTTGGGAGACGCAACTTGCAGACGGAGAGCCATCTACATTCGAAAGTACAATATGTAGTTTCCAACCGTTGCGTTAGGTGCTGCTGTCTGCATTCGGGGAGGACGATTGGTGCTCCAGGTGTGGTTCCTAATTTTGTCTTCTTTATCTCCGATTCCGACAACACTAATGAATTCTTTTGAGCTCCATATGCTGGTGTACAGGGTAGCGAAAGATAAGAAGCTGGGACGCTTGTTGTCACTGACAAAAACGGGACGGAAACAACGAAACGGGGCAGGGCTCTTAACGTTTCAGTTCCGCTCCATCACCTCTTGCTCTTCTATGTGTAACCTCATTTATGATGCCCCCTTGATATATTGAACGTCCAGGACCAGACATCTGCGTGCATCGGAGCAGTATACTGGCATCGACAGACCTTCCTGATGGAGGATATCGGTCTTGATCTCTGAACTCGTCAAACATCAGTCAATGTGAATATTCTCTCAGACACGAGCACACTAGGGAAGGGGGGGGGGGAGAGGAGGCACACCTCGACCCTAATGGATCAATCGACTGCTAATTCACCTGAATTTGGCGGTTCTCAGCATTTGTATCAAGGTAATCAATTTGTTGGGTTAGTGATCACCAACATCGTCGCAGGTAGGGTGCGGGCAACGTTTGGGAATTGAGATGTTTAAGCTTTTAACTCCAACGAGCAAATGACCAAAAACCCGTTTATTTTACACTTGGTTTGTGTCAGATAGAGGTCGAACTGCCCTCGGTCAGTTCAGCTCGAGCAAAACTGCCCTTTGCGTGGTCACATAATGCAATACACGTTTATCGTTCGTATTTGAACCAGCTAAAATGCTGACATGATGATCATGCAGAAACAAGTCGACAAAAACTGCCACCTCAGTAACCAAAATTGCCTAGACATCGTCACACCGAGGCGAGTGTTTTTCAGTTCAGCGATATCGCAGCATCCACGATGAAGCCATGTGAAACACGGCAGCTGCCTGCAGCCGGGACATGGATAAATATTTGTTCATCGCAGGATAGCCTCGGCATTTCGCACACGAAAAGGAGAGGAGCAGAAATGAAAAGGCAAATGTAAAACAGATGCTTTCTTCACCAGCTCGTTTGGATTAAACGGGATGTCTGGCGGGAGCGGAAACATGAAAACGAAGTGAAATATATTTGATCCCAATAATGCATGCAATATGGAACAAAAACGAACATTAAAGCCAAACCAACAAAATCGAGCATTTTAAAAAATAATTGCATTAAACAGGGTACGATGAGTGACACATGTCCTATTTACCGGATGCCTATTGCAGAGCGGAAATCATTTTGGGTCCCAAAACAAACGAAGCAGTATGCAAGGATCAATGTTCACCCTCAGGCCATGAGCGCATTTCGTCAACCCCACTCACCAAGCTTACCGTGCTCCTAATCAAGCGCCCTTGTTCAGCTAATCAAGCGCTTATGTTCTCGAGCTTTGAGGCCTATTCTACCAGTTCCTGGAACCTAGCCTGGGGAGGCCACATTGTATAGTTCCTCGAGCCCCGCGCGCGCACAACTGATGTCGGCGTTGGCGCGCAGAGACCGACAAACATTGCCAATTGGACTCCGCTCTCTAGATTCGGGCAATACGACATAAGGCTGCGAGGGGCACAGGTGCGTCTTATCGCTGCAAAGTGCACACGCACTTGTGATGCTCCGCACACGTGCGATCTCACAGGTGTACAACGCGCGGAGTTAAGTTAAGTTTTTCGTTTAGTTTTCATATTTTGCCAGACTTAAGTAATGCAGTAGCAGAATTCACGCCTAGGGACTGC